TTGTGACTGTACTTTCTCCAATGTATGCATATCTTTCCTAGAATGTGGCACACAGAACTGTAGAAAATACTCCAGCTGAGGTTTAACAAGTGTTTTATACAAATTCAACATCACCTCCTTGCTCTTGCGCTATGCCCCTTTTTATAAAGCCAAGTAAACTTTACTTCTCTGTCCAATTGCCCTATTGCCTTCAATTTTCTGTGCATAGATAATGCACTCCCTCTGCTTCTGCACCCCCTTTAGATTTGTGCCCCTATTTTATACCATCTTTCAATGTTATTCCTACAAAATACATCACCTCATATATCTCTACGTTGAACATCTGCCATATATCCACCCAGTCCACCTTACAGTTTATAATTTTTCCAAGTTCCGTGTCATCTGCACATGCTGAAATTGTACCCTGCACAGCAAGACCCAGATCATTAACATGCATCAGGAAAGTTAGGATCCCAGTACTGATCTCTGGGGAATTCCACTGCAAACAGCCCGCCAACCTGAAAAATATCCATTAACCGTTCTTTCTGTTTCCATCGCTCAGCCAATTTTATATCCACATTGCTGCTGACCCTTTTATTTTACTCACAGGTCTGTTGTGTGGCACTATATTAAGTGCCTTCTGAAAGCCCATGGACACCACATCAACAATGTTAACCACATTGAGTCTCTCTGTTACCTCTTCAGAAAACTCCGGAAAATTAGTTAAACACAATTTCCCCTTTCATTAATGTCATGGGGGGAGAATCAGAGAAATCAGTGGGATCTGGCTTGATTGTATTTGTTAATTTGATGTGCACTGTGGGGTATTAATCGCAGTACCTTATCGTGTTTACGTATGCTAATTCGGAGAGTTAGAAATAAGTTGTCCATGTATTGTTAGTTATATTGCTGTTCCGACTTTTATAGTCAATGTTGTTATTTCTTCAAAATCGTGTACTTCTGTGGCTTTATTGTAATTGCATGGTTCCTGAATCTCATCTTATGTCCATCAAAAATAAAAGATGAGTGGTCCCTAATCAGATACTGTGTAGTTCAGATGTCTTTGTACAGGACAACTAAAGATCAGCACTCCTAAATTAGAGCCTGCCTTACTCTGCTTCTTTCTCCAAGTAATTCTGAATCAAACTGCTTTTCAGTGAGCCCTGAACTGTCCTAAGTGACCTAAAGAAAATCTTGCAAAAAGCCTCTCCCCTATTGCTGGGCAGAATTGAATGTTGCCACCCCACAACTTTTGGAACTAAATGTTAGTTTTCACAGAGGACACTGCTCAACATGAAGAAAAGGATATAACTGGAGGATGTCCTCATAAACTATATTGCTGTGCCTTTTTTTTTTGATGAGGCAAATCCTGGACTTCTCTTCAGAACAACACTGTGGTATGTTTACACCATGCAGACTGCAACAGTTCAAGAAGGCAGCTTTCCACCAGCTTCTCAAAACAATTAGGAATGGGCAATGAATACTGATCTTGCCAATGATGCTAACATTCTACGATTGAATTTTTTAAAAAGTTGTGCAAATTAGAAAAACCAGTAAAGCAAATTGAGCGGTTATGATTAGGTGACACCAAGATTGGGTTTGAGAAATACCTATAAAGAATGCAAGCATGGATATATCTTCATTACATGACACAGAGGTTTAATTTACCCAATAATTCAGACCGACATTTATTGCGTATCCCTCGTTGCGATGTGAAAGTGATGATAGGTTTCTGAAATGAATTTTTAATTTAAAATAATAACTTTTTTCTTGGAGGTAATTTACTGAGGATTGAAGTGAGTGTGTTCAGCTGCATTGCAGCATGATCATTATGCTTAACTGTGCCCTGAGCAATCCTGTGAATATTAGTATTGCAAAGCTCAAGTTTTCACATCTCCTGATTTCACTTCATCATTAGCTGAGAATATTGAAAGCAAGGCCAAATAAATTTTTTGCCAAAAGTGCAATTTCTCTAGCTTCCTGAGGAGTGCCCAATATTTTTGACAAGTAGACCCATCACTATGTCACTTAGCAGACTGCTAGCAGGGATCTATAAGCAGGTCGACTTATTCAGAGCCAGTGTGTTTGTTCACTGAGATTGGTGTTGAGGTGCATCAAGTTATATTGCCACTGCAAGATGGAGATGTTTATACTGCAGCAAACAATAAGCCATTTTAGCTTCAGTAAAACTCCACACCCTCTCACAGAAGATATACAAACTCATACATTAAATCTATCTATTCACACTTATTCTGCCATTTGAAATTACTTTTACCAATTTTAATTGGCAGCCATAGTTTCTGACTGGTCTTCTGTCCAACTATGGCATAATATACATCTCAGCTGGCTGGATGGCTGGTTTGCAGTGTAGAGTAACACCAACAATGTAGGTTCAATTCCCACACTGGCTGAGGTTACCATGAAGGACTATCCTCCTCAACCTGTCCCCTCACTTGAGGTGTGGTGACCCCCATGTCAAACTACCATCAGTCATTTTTCGCTGATGAATAACTCTATCGTCTGGTAAGACTATGGCGAATTTACCTTTACTTTTACACCTACACTGGACCTGTCTCCCTTCTCTACGACAGCTCCCATTTCCTTTGCCTTTTGTTCTGTGACACTAATGTCCTTTAGGGAAGGAAACTGCCATGCATACCTCATCTGGCCTACATGTGACTCCAGACTCTCAGCAATGTTGTTGAACCCGGGCATTTGGGATGGGCAGTAAATGCTGGCCTGGCCTGCAATGCCCACATTTGTGAATGAATAAAAATAAACCAGTGACTTCAAACCTCCCTTGCCTTCTAACATTAACTAAATTTTCCCTTCTGTTTCACATGCCCCTTCTCACTTCTTTCCGAAACTCATCGCTTTTCCATCTCTCTCCTCAGTTCCAAAAATAAGTCATGCCTGACTTGAAGTGTTAACTCTGATTCTGTCTGCATAGATGCTGCTTGACCTGCTGAGTTTTATCAGTGACCTTGTTAAGTGGTGGAGAAGGCTCAAGGGGTGTGCTCCTGACTGTTCTGTTTGTAAGAATGGTTAGAAATGAACCAAATGAGCACTTGTAAAGGCCATCTTAAGACATTTGCAAATGAATTGCCCATGAATCGAAAGATCTTGTTGCCTTCTATGGTAAACGAAGGTAGTCAACAGCTCCTTCTCCGATATCAAAGAGATGGTTATCATGGCTATTCAGATGCTGTTCATGTTTGTATTCTCCTTATGTTTGTGTGTGTACAGATAGCTAAGCAGCCAATGAAAGAAGGAATGACAATCACTGACAAGCTTTTTCTCCCTTGCCAGTGCACATTTGCTAGTGGCTGGCACACATCCTTTGCTTTTGAGGGCAGCCTAGTAACAGTTTTGCATTTCTTTCTTGTTTCAGCTGGAAATCACAAAAATCAGGGACAACTATCCGTAAGCAGAATTGTCCAGGAAACTGGGAATGAGAAAGGTAACATTTATCCCTTTCTCCAGGAAGTATCTGGATTGTTTGTAACCTCTTAACTCCTTCAGTAGATTTTCAGTTAGAAAGAACAAGGGACAGAAGAAAATTCTGTTTTCTTAAGAGAATTGGTACAACCTCTGCAAAAATGGTTACGGTTAATGAGAGTAAGAAGCTCAACTGCATCATGAAGCAATCTATGAATAGTGTTAGTAAAAAGATCAGTTACAATGCTTTTTGTTCTTAAATTGTCTGTCTTATGACGAGGTGAGGAGCACCCAGATTACCTCAATAAATTATGTCACATTCTTAACTGGCTCAGGAGGGTTAATATTGGCTGATGTTTCACCTGACTGAAGCACGTAATGACATTTTTGACAGAGTATTTGAGAGATTAGCAGGCTGAAAAAGGCAGAATGGCCTACACCTGCAGTGAGGACAATAATAAATCTTTAGCACTCCACATTTTAAGAAACTCTAATCATTTTCTTAATATTTATTGATTGTGATTAGTTCATGAATACAGGCATCATTATTGTGTTCCTGAAATTTTAAAGAATGGAGTGGGAAACTGAGAGGACCACAGGGAAAAGAATTCTTCCTCTTGAGTATTGCTGAATAGGACACATTTTTGTCATAGCTTTTCATCTTATACTCATCAGGACATTTCTCAACAATGCAAATTCAAGCAGAAAACCAACATTTATTGTGCCTAAGTATACTTGTATTTATGCAGTATCCATTTTTGCTCTCCTCTGAAAGTGTATTCTTATGGAATGCCCAGATGAGTGCAAGATGAAAAACTTCAACAAAATGTGACCTTTTCCAGAAATGCTAACTTCTAAAAGGAAGAGATAATGAGAAATTGACTTAAGTTCTTTACTACCAAATGACTAATTCTTTTCCTTTTAGCATATTTAGATTATGTACTCCTCTGCTGGTGTCAGCTTAGTCAGACCACACTTAACATGGCTGGTTGCTAATTCATGGACACTTGTCTCCTTGATTTTCCTCATGCTTGATGAGACATGGTGCCCTTCAAGTGATGTAACTAATTGTCTCTCTCTAATGGAAAGAAATTCTTGTGGCCTTTTGTGAACTATAGCAAATTATTTCTACAAAATGTTACAAACATGGAAACACTGCAGAGTTTTCAGAAATTTTAGATAGGTAGTAGAACTGTGAGGTTACACCTAACCGGAAAGGAGTAACAGGTCGGATCTTTTACACCTGAGAAAGGAAGACTGATGAGCAACCCGATAAAGTCTTTAAAAGTATGAAGGATTTTAATAGATTAGACACACAAAGAGAATGTTTCCATTTAAGGGCGAGGAGCAAAATTAAAAGCCATCAATATAGGACAGACACCAAGAAATCACATAACGAATTCCAATTTTTTACCCAGATAATAGTTAAATGTGGAACTCGCTGCCACTTGGAGAGGTTGAAGTGGACAGTATAGAGGCAATTAGGGAAATAGAGGGTGATATTGATTGAGTTAGATGAAGAAGGTAGGACAGACACTCTGATGGAACATAAATGTCAGAGTTGGTTGGGCTGAATGGCCTGTTTCTGTATTGTATGTTCAATGTAACTCCAGTTGGCAGTGATGCATATTACAGCTGCCGCAGCCTGTGCTAACACAATACCTTGTACTGTGCCAACATGGCACCTCACAGTACTGTTAAAAATCAACTAAATCCTAAATGAATTTGCCTCAGTTTTTCAAAACTCCAATTTTCAAACAATTTCTGTTGATGCTTTCGAATTTTCTGGAGATGATAATGATTTAAGTGATTGTTAGGTTTTCCAGCTTAGTGTGATTATTGATTACTAATGTCCTTTAAGAAAAGCAGTCTACCAACCTTACCTGGTCTGGCTAACAGGTGATTCTAGATCCACAGGACACTACATTGCCCTCTGAAATGGTCTAGTGAACCACTGAAAAGAAGGTAAATTAGAGATGGGTGAAAAAAATGCTGTTCCAGCCTGTGATGCCCACATCCCATAAACAAATAAAACAAGAGGAAATGGGCAGAATAAAACAAATCATTGATCATAATTCTTTGCAGCTCTTTGACCATATTAAAGATGTTCTGTTATGGCTGCTTCCTTTTCAAAGTTAGAAGATTCTAACATTTAAGTGTGGGGTAAGTTTTATTGCCCATTCATGTATCATACCAGCGGGGCTAGTGGTTTATGGTGACTAAGTCAATCATATTGTTTGTTTCCTGTTTGGGGATCTGAAATGTTTACTTGGATTTACAGGTAGCATTTTGCAATTCCACCTTTTTCCAAGAAAAATCACAAACTTCGCTTGTAAAAGAATGGGATTTACTTCACCGATAACTTGCACTTGGTTCATCATGTTAATCTTGTGTCATGGGTCAAAAAAAGAATTGGGTAAATTTAAATTATGATTGCTTTTCCTCTCTTAAGCCTTGGACAGTGAGGTATTGCTTGTTTTACTTCTTGCTTTTTTGATTCCCATCCCTCATTTAGGTAGGCCAAACACCAGTTCCCCAAACACCAGTTTTTGGATTCCAATTCTTGAAATAAATGCACAGCAAGACCCTTTAAGATGGAATGAAAGGTAGACTTTATTAACAAAACATTCACAACCCTGGGGAATTGGTTTGCTATTCTATTACACACGCATGCACTTGGGAAATTAAGACAGAAGAAGAAATAAGTGACAAGTTACACATTTTTGTAAAATCAGAGGTACTAAAAAGTAGTTTGTGTGAGTTACAACTTCCTTGATGTCAGTTAGCAACAATAGTTTCCTCAGTGAGTTGGGATCAGTTGTGTTCTTTCTTGCAGGTAAAATATAGCCTTTTTCCCAGCTAGCAACTTAGACACAGAGATGGAGTGTCCAGTTCTCCTTGTGGAAGATCAAATTGCAACCAACATTGAATATGGGAATTGGATACTTAAACAATTTGACAAGCTTAGATTTCAGTCATGTGATGAAGACAGGCAACCAGGTATTCATGGCATATCTCAGTGGGATAATTAGAAAGCCATTGAGCTAACAATGTAACTTTATTTGATCCATCTGAGTTTCCATTGTGAGATGATGAGGTATCTGCAAAAGCATTACTGCCCATTTTAACACAATAGGTTTTGTTGTTTTTCTTGGTCCAGAGCTGGCGAAAGCAGATATAAAAAAGCAAAGATTGACTGAAACATCAATAAGGAGGAATAAAATAGATCATGAGAGAAATCTAGCGAGAAATATCAAAAGATAGTGAGATTTCCTTCAGCAAAAGCATTAACAAAGTGAATGCTCGTATGAGTTGAGAATTAAAAATGGAAAGTAAGGAGTTAGCAGGTGAATTGAACAGGTTATTTTGCGTTTTGAAGAAGGGTCACTGGACCCAAAAAATTTAATTTTTATTTCTCTCCAGAGATGCTGCCAGACCTGCTGAGATTCTCCCTCAATTTCTGTTTTTGCTTTAAGTTTTTTGCATTGGTCTTCACCGTACAGAGCACAAGTAACATCCCAGAAATAGCTGTAAATCAACTGGTCCTGATGGACTTCATTGTTGTGTGATGAAGGAGTAAAAACAACTCATGAACAGCAGGTACCAAATTTAAGGGAAAACACGTATAATTGTGCAATTATATTGGACAGAATATTGGACAGAATAAACTAACAAAGAAAGATGAATAAATTAATAAGGAGGTGAAAATTACAAGAGAAAGCTAGTCCGAAATATAAAAACAGATATCAAGTGTTTCTATAATTATTGATAAAAGTAACAAGTTGTGGAAAATGAGTATTTCTTATAGAAAGTGAGACTGGGGAAAATATAATGGAAAATAAAGAGATATTCGATGAATTGACCAGGCATTTTACATCTGACATTGCTACAGAGTATACAAGTAAGATCCCAGCAGCAGCTACTAACCGTGGAAATCAAAGGGAAGGAGGAAGGAACTCAGAAAAACTGCAATGATCAGAGAAGTGACAATGTGTAAATTGTTGTAGCTACAGGCTGACAAATGCCTGGGTCCTGAGTAATTTAATACTAGTGTCTTAAAAGATAGTAGATGCACTTACTATTGGCCTTAACGTGGATCCCAGCGGAACTAATCTCTGCATTCTGCCAGTCAGCCAATCCTCTATCCATGCCTTCTGTGTGGTTATTGTTTTGAGACTTCTGCACGACTCCCACAGTTATCTTATTGCATTTAATTTTTCTCATTTCTCCCCAACCACTACTACACCTTGATTTACTGAACTTAGATCATCCTTCTCTATTCTGCTCAACCATCATTAATTAATAGAGCCATACCTCCACTTTATTCAAAGCTTCCTAACCTTTCTAATTGTCTTGTACTGAGCAACATTCATGTCCCAATCTATTTCATCATGCAGCCATGTCTCTGCAATTGCTATCGAATCACATTTACCTGTTTCTATTTGTGCGATCATTTCAGCAGTTTTTTCTTCCAAATCATACATGCATTCAGACATAAGATTTTTAAGCTGCCTTGTCATCAAGCAGACAGATTTGTCTATAAATCCCATTATTTGGATTTTCATCCTCTTCACAAATGATTTTTGTGATACGTTGTTACACAATCAGAATTGCATATCAAAAAACTCTTTGCAACGGAGATTATATCTTGTCCGATTATCTGTAATAAGTAGCGTGACATGTCAACTCTCAAGGTTTTTCAGTGAAATTAAGCCTCTTACACAACCTGGCAAAGGGAGCCTGAAGACATGCTGTTTTTCATAGGCCATCATCTCCTTGGGGAATACTTTAAAATTTTGCAATTGTTAAATCCTTGATTCATCTGGCAGACAGCAGAATGATCTCTGCAGTATACACAGGGTTTAGAATTGGAATGAGTTCAGTTATTTGCTACTTGCTTCTATTCCACATTTTCTGGCATTTTTCTTCCACTTGTTGCTTAGGGAACCAGGTCGGGACCTGGGTTTTTGACGCTGTTTGCGATCTGCAGCTTGTTTGCAGAAAACAGCTTCACAGCCTCTG